ACGATTCTTTCCTCCCGATAGTAAGCCAAGATAACAGTAAGCTCCGACTAACACTAAAAACCCTAACCTTAAATGAAACACCCGCTCCGCACCCGTACTCACCCTAACCACCATACTAACCCTACCCGTCACAGTGCGGTTACCTTACTCTTACTATTATATATTTCTTGAGTTTCATGCGGCCTCCAGGCTCGTTCGCCGACGTCCGTACAGGCCGCCGGTCAAGCCGGCGTTCCACAACCACGTGTCGCGCACGGAATCACCCCGCAAGCCCTCCACAGCGCGCCACACCGTCCACGTTTTATGAGTTGCTCACTGCTCAGTGCTCAGTGCACACTGGTGACTGTGTGCACTGATCAGTGACAGTGCCGCACTGTGCACTGTGCACACCCTCGGCGGGCCGTCTGACGATGACGCGCACAGCCGCCACTTGGCAAGCGAAAATTGCTCCGAGTCTGCAGCGAGCAGCGAATCCGGCGGCCTATATCCTCGACGTCTTACGCGTTGAATTCTTTGCGGACGTGGTCGCCTGGGCCCGGGGCTAGTATACCAGGTTTGCGCAAGCTTGGAGCTAGACTAGGTAGCCATGCAGGAACTTGTGCGGCGTGCCCCTAGGCTAGGGAGGAAGCCAGCGCAGGCGGCATGCCAATGGCATATATAGGTACCTATATTAATTAAATATGCAGAATATTACGGTAGGTGCAGCCAAATGCTTCCAGCTGGTACGTTTGCACAACGTGCGCGCAGTCGTGTTTTGATGGGGGGGATCGCCCGCCTGCCAGTTTGCAGTGCCAGAAGCACATGGTGTTATAGTAGCACACATAGGTACAGGTTCACTGCACGCTCTGCTTGGCGCCGACTCCCCAGCTCAGCTGCGAGGAATAGGTATGTCGGGGTATTACTATAATATTCTGTCAACATTCCGATGTTGCCAGCTATAGCTGAACGTGACACGGCTCTGAATACTTGAAAGCACCGCCAGCTGACAATTGGCGGCCCTGCGAGGGCGCCGGCCACTCCTGTCGGGATTCAGCTGAGGTCAGCAGACTGAGCGGGGAGTGCTGTTCGAGCTATTAGTATACGTTGCTGACGGCATTGCTTCCAGTTCCAGTGTTGTGTGCCAGCATCAGTCCATGTGGAAGAAACATACGGCACGTCGTTGGGAGAGAAAAAGTCGCCGGTTTGCTAGCTGCAAGGCACGAGCTCTGCAGACGCTTTCCAGGGAGTTCTTGCCCTTCAACCTCCCCCAGATACGTTTCACTTTGGAGCTGATGATCCACCAGCTTTGGTCTAGATCATCAGGTGGGATTTCCACCAGCTCTTTTTCCATTCCGCTTCTCTTCCCAGAGATCCGTCGGAAAGTTCCTCTGAGCTCGAGAACCCCTTCACATGACAGCACAGCTTCCGGCGACGGCGCTGAGCGTGAGGAAAACTAGAATGGCGTGGCTCTTGGCCGCGCTGTGCGCTCTTTTGGCGGTCCCTGTCATGGGCTCAAGCCTGGAGAACGGCAATGTGAGTAACGCATTGTTCTTGAACAATGTGCTGGCTACAGATCTGCCGTCATATTGATGACGTTCCAGCTGGTAGAGAGTTTCAAATCTGTTGCCAGAGCCACAATGCAAGAAATTGTGTGTGCCGTTTGTGTTTCTGATGAAGGGCACAGCTTTGAGCGGCCTTAGAGTCTTCACCCCCAAAGCCAGGAGTTGGTCCGCCGCAGAAGCTTACGTACACAATGCTGCAAGCAAAGGCTTTCTTTTCCTTCTTGTTCCTACACAATCTTGATCTTGCTTCAAAGAATTGACTAAAGTCAGGGGAAAGTTGCTGGTTTGAGATCTTGTATGAACACCTCTTGGAATTTTTTCGGTGTAACCCTTCCCAAGTTTCCTGGATGTGACCCTTCCAAAGATTCCTGAGAGTGACTTTACCTGTGATTTGTTGAGGATTTAGCTGGTGAACAGCAGTGATAATTCTTGCCCTTATGTCAAGGCAGACCGAAGGTGTATCCTTTATCTGGTGAATCAGTGACTTGTACATTGTCTTGCTTTCAAACACTGGTCAATCTAGAGCAACTTATCAAGCTGAATGCCCAAGAGACGGTTGGCCAAGAACCTTGTGAAGGGGGCCTGAGTAACATTCTCTAACATAATGGGCAATGCTGTTAGAGTCTGTACACCTGTCGACATGCTCCTCTCGTCAAACTCTTCTCAGCAGTTTCAGAAAGTAGTGACTATGGCACTGGCCACAGTAGATTGCTGCTTGGCATTGCAATGTCCCTTGTCAATGTGGCGTCTCAGCATGAATCTTGATCCACATTGAGTGAGGCTGTTGACCAGAAGAATGTGAAGTGGAATGTCTACCTTCTAATGAACAAGCTATCTCACAGAAGCCCAAGAAAGCCTTCAACTTACAGTTTTTTTTTCTGCAGTCATGCCATTTTCTCCTTATTTGCCTTATTGCCACCAAGTCAAATGTAAAGAGGGTCTGAAACTTCTTGGCAAGTTACTACAAACTCAGATTAAAAATCAAGACAACTCCTCTCATTTCGTTCTTGAAAGGTGCAATCTTGCTGTCAGCAGACAGTGAAAGTAAACCTGAGAATGCATACAATTTGCTTGGTAGTCTTGAATGCAGAATTCTTTCAGCCACCATTTGTTTGTTGCTAGCCTTGTCCAAGGCCCTGGCTTTGGGATTCTTAGCGGTATCCTTCTATCTTTCTCTTTTCAGCATGCGCAGACTGCATGACGTAAGCCCTCCCCCTGGTTTTAGCCTAGGTATTCCTGCCTGCAAATAACGTGCAACTGTTTCGCTCCCCCTGAGTAACCACGCTCTCCTCAAATAAGGATTCTGGAAAGTGCCCACAAAGCATCGAAAGGGCACTTTGGAAGCTACCTTGAAACCATTTGTCCTTGATTGAGTTTCATCACCGGTCGGCTGCATTGACTATCTCTAAGTGAGTGCACCATCTAGTTCCTTGAGCTTGGGCACTTTGTTCGTCGGATTGCAATGTATGTGGCGTCAGTCTATTCAGGTTCAAGTCTGCTTATTACAGCGTACCATGCACACTGGCAGCTTATCAAACTGCTATTGTGTAGCTCAACCTTGGTTTGGTCAGGATAGTTACAGGAGATTCCTGGAGTGCATAATGCATCTCGCCTCCACAGCCTCGTGGATTTCCTCACCTTCTTGTCAAGAACTTGTGGAAAAAGTAACGTGGAACTTGCTCGGAAGAAGCCGACCAAGGCTTGCAAGTTTCTCGATCAACCTTTGAAGAGGTCTCTGCAGGATGAGACCCCTACTATAATTATGACCAACTTTGACTTTTCTCTGCAGTCCCGTAAGCTCCTACAAGCCGCCTGCGATCCTTCCTCTGCCACCCCAAACACGTAAGCTTGCTCCTTTATTCAATGTAGACCACTATCCCAATGGCAAACCCCAAAAACCACCACTAATTCAGTGACAAACCCCCATAACACCCACATGTCCACCATAATCCCATCCACCTTCCCCTTTTCCACCTCTTTCCATCACTTCTCTCTGGTTGTCTCCTCTCACCTTCTGTATTTTCTGGTCCTATCTACCTTTAGCTACCCTTTAGTTGGTCTTGTTATTGCAGTTGCTAGTCTTGCATTTGTTGCCTCCCCAAAGTGAAACCTTTGCTTGACAATGTGTACATTCTACCCCATTTCAAACTTCAACGGATGACTCTCCTGCACATTTTATCAAGCTGAAACGGTCATGTCTCCGCAAAGTCCAACAGTTCGTGTTCCGGTCTTAGGTTCACACGACAGCAATAACTTGACACTCCGAACCTCCTGACTTCGAAAAAGTGCTTGCTTTGCAGCTGTTACAACGCTGATGGCAGCCAGTTCGTCTGCTGTGCCGGGCAATGTGGCAACAACCCAGGGGCCGTTGTGTCTTGCCCGGGGGGGTCAAATCCCCCCCCGACCAGTGGGCCGACCAACCCCCCCCCGACGAGCGGGCCGACTAACCCCCCCCAAACAAGTGGGCCCACCAACCCCCCCCCAACAAGTGGGCCAATAAGCGGGACCCCGATTTTCAACACTGGTGCCAACGTGAACTGCTTCACAGACTACCCATCTGCCCCTAACGCGTAAGCTTCCAGCAGTGACGTTATGCGCTTGTCCTCGACCCTCTTCTCATCGTGTCAGCCTTGCAAATTTCAGCCTTTCAAATTTGTGCCATCCGTAATCCTGCATTTTCCCCCCTCCACTCTTGCTGTGCAATCGTAGAGAGTACGTCGCACAGACTCTCTGAGTTATGGAAACGGTCGGGGCTTGAGCGCAGTGTCTCGATCTTTGCCAAACAAGAAAGCTTCCAACTTATGGAAGGGAGTTGTCCGCAATTCATAAAAGGGCAGTGCACACAGGTTGTAAGGCCTTTCCTTTCAAACAGTCCGCAAAAATGGAATAACAGGCTCTTTTGCAGACAAGAGAGTTGTCCCTCAATAAAGGAACACGCAACCAGACTTCAAGATCACTCGGGGACGCAAATCTGCTCCATGCAACCCTTCGTAAAGGAAAAACCGTTCGTTTCTGAAGGCTCTGCTTTGGGCCCTCTTTGCGAAACGTGGGCTTCGCACTGAACCCCCCATTTGTGCGCCACAGCTGTTACAGCTCTGACGGCAGCAAGTTTGCCTGCTGCACCGGAACGTGTTCCGGCACCCCAAGCGACACGCCTTTCTGTCCGGGGGGGTCCATCACCACGACTCCAAGCCCATCAAACCCCCCCCGACGAGTGGCCCCACCAAATG